CGATTTTTCTCATATATGAAAGAGAAAGGATGTACAGACCTGCTGCATGTGTTACCCTTTAGGAGTAGCTTCTCTTTGAAGCCTGGCTGTAGCTGAGTTGTCAGCCTCTAAACAGTAGCAGTTTACATCCACCTAATAAAGTTCTGGATTTTAGCAGCTATTTTTTCCTGGAGGTTTTCTTTACAACTGAAGCTGTTGCTGCTGTTGGCAATGCTAAATTAGGACAGAGTGGTTGGCATGCTTTAAATGGTAGAGCTTAATCCTGATGATTGGGTCAACAGAAACTTTGGGCAGTTCAACAAGGGAAGTGCATATTTTCATGCCTCACCTATGCATTGGTACAGGCTGAGAACTGACTGACTTGAGCTGCAGCCCTGCTGAGGAGGATGCAGGGGTTACAGCGGATACAAAGTTGAATGGGAGCCAGCCCTGCCAGCTGGTTGTAAATAAGGTAAACCACATAGTGGGCTATATTAGGAGGAGCATGGCCAGCAGACTGAGGGAAGTCATTGTCTGCTTCTACTTGGGGCTAGTGAAGCTGCACCTGCAAGTATGTGTGCAGTAGTCTTGGTCCTCTCAGTGTAAGATGAACATTGAGGAAGTGGAGTGAGGGCAGCAGAAGGCTACCAGGATAATTACAGAAATAACAAAGCTGAACTCTTGTCAGTAGTGACAGTAGTAACAACAGGTAATGGCGACCAAAAAAAACCCAAGGCATTTTTGATAGAAGACAGTGCAGCACTGGAACAGGTCACTCAGAGAACTTGGAGAATGTGTTGATGGAGGTTTTCAAGACTCTGCTAGACAAGACACGATCACCTGATCTGGTGCTCAAAGTGGCACTAAGCCATCCTCAGAATTTCGTCCAGAAGCATGTCTATAACCCTCCTGGGTTTGAGTCCAGCTCTCTTGAGGTGATGGTCAGGAAGATCTGCCTCTTGTGCCATCAACAGTTCCCTGTGCTCGCTAGGCCTCCACAGTCAGAGCAGAGATCTGTCTTGTTCTAAAACTGGGACTGAATGTTATATGCCTTAAGGATGAGCATCTGAAAGATTAGAGAGTTTGCCTTGTCTGCATCTATACTATGTTGTTTAATCCAGGCTTAACCTAACAAGGCTGCTGACCTGCAGCTATTATATCCACAGTCAGATACTAATCTCATATGAAATGTATCAAGCTCCACATGTGCTGAAAGAAAAAAATTCCATCTGCAACTCATTACTTCCCAGCTGAGACCAGTGCCCAAATGGATTGAGTTCTCTTCTCAATCTGCCTGAATTGTTTGACTCTGGCCACACACTGGAAACCACTGTGTGGGGCCAGTTCTGGCAGTCAAGCACTGTTCCACTTCATGGAACAAATAGACGGGCACTCATGCCAGCTGAAAGTCATCCCAGTGGAGAGGCAGAGGACACTAAGAAGACAGCCACATCCTTCCTGAAACTGGAATTTGGCTGTATGAGCTCATCTTTGCTGTGCTCTATTTGACCAAGCTAATTTGATATTAAGCTAATTTGTTTGATTTCTCACCCTGGAGGAGCAGAACACTCTGACAACAAAGGTGTCCTACAGCTTGCACCAGTCTCAGTTGTCATGTGGCAGCAAACACTACCAGTTCCTAAGAGCAGAGGCTGCACAGCACCTAAGCTGAGGAAAAGCAAAGATACAGTTGAAGTCTGTTGTCAGCAAAGAACACTGATTTACAGCTAAGACTAGAACAACAGCAACAATTCTCACCCTCAGCTGAGTTTTCCAGACATAGACAGCAACTTCAGCCATAGCCCGTCAGAGCCCAAGTGCGTGGCTGCTCCTTCTTCTCTTCATAAAAGAGAAGGAACAGAGCAGAGGTAAAACTCTTGTACAGCTGGACTCTTAGCTGCGTTGTCAAACAAGGTTTAACACAGCAAGCTGGTTTTGCCTCTGAGGCTGTGAGCTTGGCTGGCAAGCACTATACCCAGCTTTAGAAGTGTTAGGGAATAAGTCTAGGGTCTTACAAGCCAAAAATACTGTGTAGGCTTAGCGCATGGGCACTGAAATATTTTATACAAAGCCAAACAATTCTAAGAGGGAAGATTTGAAGTTTGCTCGTTCCCCAGTCCTATCATGACATAAAGGAGATGCAGTCGCAAACTGCCTTGGGGTGAGGATGGTCTGAGTGCAGATCTCCTATTGAATTGAGTGCTCTGAACACTGGGACTGAAGTGAGGAATAAAGTTACACCTTCTGCAGCTGTACAGAGCTACCCTTTCATTTCCTTGTCTGTTCCGACATGTGCTCAGAAATGAAACATATCATTTAAAGTCAAATGGAAAATTTTGTTTTACATAGACATGCAAAAAGAAAGGGTTTGTGTTTTGGCTTAATGCAAGCCAACACTTGTTTCCAATTTTTTAGTTTGACAACTCATTTTCTTTTAACTAGAAGAGCATGCTAAGAAAGGAACAGAAATTATAGAGAGGGAAAGGGCAGACTATGTTAAAATAAGTTGATTGAACTCAACCTGTAGAATTGTATTCTGTGTCTGCTTGTGTCATGGAGTTTCTCAACCAGACACTCTGGGCACATTTTGCATAAATGTATGTTTCTCAATTTTGGGAAGTCTGGTTTAAGACTTTCAGTTCTAATTCATAGGGAGTACATAGAATATATAATAGAATACAATATATAAAATAATATAACAAATAAATATATAAAGTAATACAGTTTATAGAGTGTTTGACATGCAGACCTAGGACTATCATTTTGTCATGGTTTTACCCCAGCCAGCAACTGAGCCCCACGCAGCCGCTTGCTTAGTCCCCCCTGTCGGGATGGGGGAGAGCATTGGCAGAGGGAAAG